TCATGGGATACTCACAAGTAGTACACGTTCATGTAGTAGAAGGGAACCTGTTCGAGCTTGCCATCCTTGGGGTCCTTGAAGAAGAGGGTCGGGAACCAGTAGATGCTCATATCGGCCGTTGGCAGGGCCGTGGTACACTCGGACTGTCTCAGGTGCTCTCCGGTCACGTTAAGACCGAAGTTGCTGGCTCCCATGATAGTGTGAAGGTGAGCAGAAGCGGTACCGGGGGAGACAATCGGGTCGGCGCGGCAAGTGGTAAGGGGGCCATTTCCGTAGTGACGCAAGACGGCAAAGGTGCGGGAATCCTTTGCGGCGGCCGCGGAGACGAGAAGAGCCGCAAGGGCGGCAGTGGTGAAGATCATTTTGAAATGCGTGTCGTTCTTGTAAAGTGGTACTCGTCGAAGAAGTGGTAAAGGTGGAGTGTCGTCTATCTGTCTCTAGGACCGACCGTCTTGACTCGAAGTTGATATTGGCTCTGTGGAAAGATAGATGCTAAGGCCGGAGCACCGAGACTGATCAATATAGTTGTCGTGTGATTTTCCCGATGTCGTGCTTGAACAATGCCAGTTGTTGTATCCAGCTCAGCGGATAAAGCACACAAAGAACCAAGAAGAATGGGCTTGTGGTTAAAGAAAAGATAGGACGCGCTAAGCAGGCTCAGCAGCTTGAGGTCAAAGGAAAGTGAGGGAGAACGAAGAGAACGACAAAGCCCACGATAGTCGAGGATAAGACCAGATGAGAAGATGAGGGGGAGGGTATCGTGGGCTTATTATAAAAAGACGGCCCATTGACTGTGCCTGAATAGGACATGGGGTGTCTGAAATCTCTCACTGGTAACCTCCTCTCTGACCACTCAACGCTTACCAACGCAGTCCACCCACTCATTCATCGGAACAGGATGCGGGCTGGGCACAAAGAGGTGGAAGTGAAGGGGAGGAGTGACAAACAGCAGCTGGGATTTGCCGGCGCAGGGCTGGAGGGACAGTGTGAAGCGGGTGGTATTCCGCACAGTAAAACGCCGTTCGAAAACTGAAGTGACTTTCAGTTTTGACTTGCAACTTTTTCCATGCCGACATCCAGATTGGGTACCCTTCCATATGTTGCATGTCCGCCTCCGACAAAAAGTTTGACTTTTTCATCACCTTGTCACGGCGTCGGCTTTCGTCACCTGTTTGACACCTCGCAGGCAGCTTGATCCTGTCCAGGCACTGACCAAGGTCTCGACTAAAGTCATGATGCACGCCTAGCCATGTGGTGACTGCTAGTGTAGTGTTGATCACTGGTGGTCGGAAACAGGAACTGGAAATGTTCCATTCCAGGCTCACAACTTGGTCGCTTCTCTGGACCCGCCTGAACTTCTTCTGCGGCCCAGAACCTTGGAAGCCCCTGGAGCCCCCACCTATCGCGCCGTGATGGGCTTAGCGTGAACCCTCCGATTGACGCGATGGAATGGCTGCCGAGGATAGGGAACCGTCATCGTGAGCACATCTAGTTCATGGTCAAGCGCAGCTGGGCAAGTGTCAAATATCAGCTTGAAACAAGACTAGTGTCGAGGCTTTCTCTGTGATGATAAACAGATGAGAATGAGGGGGAGGAAACAAGACGGCACCATCATTCATAGACTGGTCGGCGGTTCGGTTGGGTAGTAAAGCAACAAACAAGAGGCGGGCTGAGACCGGGTCGACGATGACGGATTTTTTTTTCTTTCTTTTTTTTTTTTTTTTTTTTTTTTTTTTTTTTTTTTTCTCCTTCTATCGATGTCACCTCCACCTCACACTCCAGTCGACAGTCACGCCTGGGAGATCCACATGCATTGGGACCTGAGCTGGGACTCAAACTAAGAAGGTGCAAATGCACGCGATTCAGGCGGAGACTGGCTTGGGCAAAGGCAGCCAAGGTCGTACCTGCATATTGCAGCCGCCACAAGACATTGATTGGGCGGTTGGTGGACATTTCCCCTGGATTGCGACAACCTTGGTTGCAACCTACGGGTAGTCGGACACCATCCGTCTATGGAAAAAAAGGGTGTGTTGGCACACGATTGGGAGAGGAGAAGAGAGAGACTGGGAGAAGGAAGTCGTGGGAGGATCCATGTCCTCGGCTGGAGTGGACGGACGTTCAGACAGTCTGTGATCATGATGGAGGTCATTGGAAGTGATGAATGCTGGCAGTCGAAGCACTGCATTTCCAACGAGAGCCGGCATTTGCTCATAGCAGCCAGTCCAATCACGTTTGTCATGCTGCTCCGTATCAAGTACGCCAAGTTCACTGTCCACGTCTTTGCTTTCTCGGCCTCTTTTGCCCAGGAAGGAGGGGGCTCCAGTCACAAAAAATTTCTGTGTGTTCTAGGTACCCAGCCTGTCCAGTCGCTGGCTCGCTGCTGTGGTCAGTCCGTCTGTGCCGTACCAGTATCCAGATATTAACGGTTTGCGTGAGTGCAACAGCGGGCTGCGCAGTCATGGGTCCCGTCAAAGTAAAGAGATTCCAGAAGCGAGAGGAGGGGAAAACGGACTGTTGGTGTGACGATTTTGTCGATCGAGGCCCAGAATATCTCGTAGCTGACGTGAGGATGTATTTTTTTCTACCTCTTGCAGCTATCTTGGGCTACCTGGTTGGATGGGTTCCTGAATTTGTGGGTAAAACTGCGGGATAAATGAATAAAAGCCGCTGATATTGGCATGGAGCAGAACTCGAGCATGTTTTGCCCGCCAACAACCTGGGCACGGCGTGTTGTTCCGAGGTTGCTTCCCGGCAACGGACTGCAAATCATATCGTAGCTTCCGATGTTGGGATGTTTCTCAATTTTCTCATATGGAATGACCTGTAACCCAACTTTGTGATTGTTGGTCGCTTCCCCAAACAGTTCATCTCGACTTTTGAAGGGAACACAGCGCCCCAGGGGGTAAAAATGACAAGAAGCGGTTCCTGGGCGGAATTGGCCGGATCGCCCTCCAATCCCGTCCCGCCCAGTCGGAGCCGCGAAAAGAGGGGTGTTTGGGGGTGCAAAGTTTGAAACGCGCCAAGGCAGACGGGGGGCACTGGCCCAGCCAGCAGTACCTTGGTGGGGTTTGTGCCTGGAAAGTGGACTCTGCTGAATAAGGTACACTACTGTACCTCGGCGTATGTACTGTTTGTCAACGTTGACGATGGCTTCCTTCCTTCCTGGCGTTTACATACAGCGATACACTGCATCGGAAAAGTAGAATAGTCGCTCGCAACGGCAAGATGCATCATGTGTGTTGGATAAACTTCCGATTCTCAGAGTCAACTGAACATACCTTTACTGTGTGCCAACTTTTCTAAATGACCAAGGAACCCAAGGTAGAAAGAGTGAGTGAGGGGACAACCTCAACGCCGGGCAGCGGGCGCACCCTCCCTCCATCTGCGGCGCGGGCGTTAGGTGACGGAAACAAACTTGGTGCATCTATTTGTTTCAACCAACGCCCGCCCACCTAAGGGGGCCCAAAGCTGAAAAGCTCAACACCATGAACTGTTTGGCGTCGGTGACATCGTGGGCTTCAAGCAGTTCACCTTGTCACTGATTGAACCCGGTTGATGATCCTTTATTTCCAGTCCTCACTCCCCAAGCGCGGGCTTCTGAGATGATGCGCGCGCTTGTTGACCCCCGCCCGTCTCAAGGGAACTGCCTCCACTCCACAGCATATCCGCTAGCCACGCGCTACACTACGCTAAACTGCCCTTGACAGCGGCACTGGCAATCGCTGACAGCTTTCTTGGCACAAATTAACTAACTTTAAACATCACAAGTCCTATTTTGGTCACTTCTCCATCACCACCTGATGGTTTCCAACGGGAAAACGAACGCCTCCATGCGTTGAGTTACCCATCCGTCTGCTTGCTTACCCTTCTTGGACTCCAGATCGACACGATTCCCCGCACCACCACCATCTCCACCGCCCCCGAGTCCAACGACATACTACACTACAGACATAAGCACACAAATACCCAGACAAAGGCTGGCTGGTTGGCTGGCTGGCTGGTTTCAGACCTCGCAAACTCTTCATCGGACGGCAGTGCAACCGCTTGTTCTTTTTTCCCCCCCACGATTGGGCACCCTACCCGAGTATCCCCTCCTTTATCGGGGCCGCGGTCTTCCTCCGCCCGTTCCGACCACCCATCAACCTCCTCTTCCTCCGCTGCCGAGTCTGGAACGGACAGTGGCGGTGCTGAACTGTTGGATATCCGGAAGGTATAGGAGGGCGCACGCAGTAAGCTACAAATCCAAGTCTGATGCGCGGCCACCGGCAGGACAAACTCATCCTGCTTCGTCAGCTGTCGGATATCTTTTGTCAATCGTCATGTTCATTTGCCTGTTCGGACTGCGATTCTCAGTATTGTCCGCTTTGACCAAGGAAGAGAGAAGCCATCACCATCCTATCAGCGCCTGGTGATGTGGTCTAGGCGAACAAACTTCACTGCAATACTGCAATGTCCAAGTCAAAAACCCCTTTTTCGGTGTTGTCTCCCGTCCGGCGAGGCGTCAGGGAGTGCAACATCCAACACGGCCGGTAGCTTCACTATTGATGATCAGCATGCCATTGACGCAGTGACCAAAGGCCGAATCACGGCTTGTTGGTAAGGCCAGTCTGCCTCTCTTGCCTGATCCGTCCATGATTGATACCATGCGGCAGAAGTGACCAGCTGTATCTCGCAGAAAAGCCCATGACGTGGCTATGAATGCCCTCAAAATTATTCGCCTTGGTGGGCCATTCCGCTTCTCTGCCGTCTTACTTGCCTCTGCCGCGATCCATTGATTCAAAGTATGATCATGGACAGTTTCTTCTGAGGTCGAACCCGGGAACATCCCGCTCCAGTGATCACAATTGGTAGTGGCAGAAGTATCTCTGGCCCAATCCTATTGGTTACGCCTTGGGATTCAAGTGAACCATTCCATGTCACTTCGGCTGAAGTTGAAAGAAATAAAAACCCTTCCATTAGTTCAAACACACGGGATTCCGCGCCAGAAAAAATCAGATCAAGTGATTGATTGCAACAGTCAATTGACAGCGCAATTGGCGCCATGGCAAATAAACGCCATGACAACCTCGGCATGACTTGCTACAACCCAGCAATCGACTACACAAGAATGATGTCCCGACTGCCCTGTTCTCCCAAATTCTTCGGTAATATTCCTCCTTGCTTCCCTCCCAGTATCTTGTACATCACTTCCCTTCCTATCCCTCCGGTACCACATAGGTATGTCAAGCCTTTCGTGTAACTGCTCCGGGATACGTCTTGTGGAACCTGAGTCCCTGAGCCCTTCGGGCATTGTCACCAAAGGCGGCGGCTCAGTCCGAGACCCTGTCTTTCTTCAAGTGCCTGCCATATCATAGAGATGTGAAACCTGGATATGGGCAAAGAAAGCGGGGGTTCTTGTGTAACACGCTTCCCCTGCCTATGGGGTTACATAAAGTCTTCGGGTCTGGACAAGCCAGCGAGCGGCTGGCCGATGGCGCCCTGAGGGGCTCGAATATGCAATGTGGCTACCCGTCTGACCTCTGGTACTAGGCGTTCTGTTCCTTGATAGGAGATCTATGAAGATGAGTGTGTCTTGGATTCGTCACCTGGCGCCTGCCGAAGAAGTTTGGTCTAAGAGTTAGAGCGGTAGGCGCCGTGAGACTAGTCTATCTTCAGGCACTTCACACATGATCCAACAGGCTTCAACCTAGCGCAATTCAGCAGATCATGCCCGTCCGTTCGGTTCTATCATAGCGAGGCATAAAATTCGCAATGATTCCGCATCTTCGTCATGTAAGTAATTTTATCGAACCGTTTCATGGTTAAACCATTGAAACACTAGTGAGTTATGAAAGAAAGAAAAAAGCAAACAAACGTGCAAAACGACGTTCATGGCTCGCAGAAAGAAATGGATTGCAAATGACAGATAACAATACCAAAAGACTACAATAATAGAGGGGAACAAACACACACACACACACACACACACACACACACACACACTTCTCCCACAGTCCCAAGAACAGTCACGACCAAAAGTAAAATTAAGCTTCCGCCACCAGGCTTTTCGTAAGATCCCCGAAATACCCCGAAAGTGATAAATCATGTGTTAGGTCTTCCAAGCCATCTTGCGTGAATCCACGAACATTGAAGGCGCTAATTCAATCTCTCTACCAGACCGCATCGACCCCTCCCTAGTAGAGGTAAGTCTACAACCCGCCAAACAACGGCTTCAATCGCCTTTCATTGCCTCAAGAACAACCGAGCCATGAACAGAAAGATAGGACGCTTGCAGTTAGCACAGTCAGGGCATGGTTAGCGAGAGCGAGCTTCAGATCCAGTCAAGTAAGCAAGGTAATGCGAAAATCCAACCTGAAAATAGGATCGGGTCAACGCTTTTTATTATAATATTGGTTTGAAAACTGACTCGAAGGACTGGGCTCTAGATCTTGGGATGGGGGTGTTCAAGTCTCACGTCTATTAAATGACATTCGTATAGGGTAGGTATGTAAAAAGAAGTCTACGGACGTAGATAGCTAAAGGCGGGGAACGTGAACGGGCTTTTTACTTGACGAAAGATCCTACGCCGCGTTCGTGCATGGCTGTATAGTTCGTAAGATGCTGGGTTCCGTCTTGGTGAGAAGGAACCGTTCTGGTCTTTTTTTGCCCTTTTTTTCAAAAAAAATATATATAAAAATTGTCGCGAGGACGAAAGGGACAAAACTGAAGTGGGCAGAGATGGCATGCACGATGGCTCGTAAGCCTTCCGCTTCACCAATCGCCGTTCTTCCCCGCAATTGTCCAGAAGACGATGCGGAAGAAACCATAACGGCGAAGGGAGGGGGTAATGTGGTTGGAAGGTAGTGAGGTTCTCCTCGAAATTCCTGTGAGACTTGGTAGTGGACAGTTTGTTATCTGATTGCTTCATTTGTTATAACTTTGATGCAATAGGCCATCATCCATCTTTATAAGTTTTCCGACACCTGCCTACCTACCCACCATACCTACCTATGCTACCTTGTACCATGCTACCGTACCATACCATCCCGTAAATCTTATGCTACCTCTACCTAGACAAGGCAAAATGCGGCCATTTTCAATTCTCAACGCTCTCTCTCTCTCTTGCTCCCCTTTCTCCCTTCCTCCTAACAGCCAGCTACCTAGCTAACCTTTCACTCGCTCACCTTTTTCATACTTTTGTACTCACTCCAAAACTAACCACCGCTCCGCGACCGCCTTGGCGCCCTTCACGTCCCCCAACAAAAAACACATACACCTCACATTATACGCCGCCTCCACCACCAACGTCTCCTCCCACCTACTCCTTTTCTCTGTACTCTCCTCCCCTTCCTGCTTCCTAACCCTCTCAGCCTCCTCCAACACCCGCCTATAAAATCCTCCTGCAAGATTCCCCAATCCAATCAAACTGTACGCCCTCCCCATATTAAAATGAGCCTCCATCTTCTGCCCTATGGTAGCCGTGGGATCTTCCTCGGTGCGATTGCGGTAATATCGGAACAGGAAAGCAAACCCCTGCGTGAGTAGGTATTGGCGGTTGGTGGCTTGTCTCTTCAGGGCGTAGTGCACGTAGGCGAGGCCGATGGAGAGGTTGATCAGTGGGTTTTCCGGGTCCAAGGATGCGGCGCGCGCGAAGTACGAGAGCGCATACGAGTACGAGGTGGTAGTAAAGAGGATGTGGCCGTAGATTGTCAAAAGGGCTACGTCGAGGGTGATGTCACCTGCCGGTGGGTGTTGTTGGGGGTTATTAAGGGTAGTAACGTCGTTGTTGGATTCGGATTGTTGGGAAGCTGTTGAGAGTGGTGCGGCGACAAGGTCACCGCGGGATCGGGATTTGAGGGGCGATTGTTGCTGCGATTTGGAAGGTGATCTTTGTGATGATGCTGGCGGGGGAAATTCGTCCTGGCCGTTCTGGCGCATGACAAGGGCATCCATCGTCTTGATCTGCCGGAGAATGAACTTTTGCGCTGGACCCGACGTGTACCAGCTTACAGGCGTCTGGCAGGTCCGGCACATGGCGGCGAACATCCGATACGAGTCGGTGCCGGGCAGGTAGTCGCGCATGAAGTAACGGGCGATGGCCACGCAGGTTTCTTCGTCGCCGGCGTACACGGCGCACGACGCCCACGCGACGTGGATGAGATATGTCGAATCCGTGGCAGTCCAGACTACGGAGTCGCGGGCGGCGTGGCAGACGACGTAGGCCTCGCGGTGTTGGTTTTGTCTGACAAGCGCAAAGGCGAGGGAGAGGAAGATGTCGAGCCAGGCGGAAAAGGGGATGCCGCGATGTGCAGAAGGGAACTTGAGGACACGAGCCTTTGAGGCGGCAGGGATATTGTCTGTGCCATCGCCGTTCTCGGGGTTGAGGCCTTGACGGAGACGTTCGGCCATGGCCGCCAGCTTCAAGTTCCTAGACGGCACGGCAGCACCGCCACCACCGGTGCCACCAAGTCCCAGATACTTGACGTACTTGTCCCAGGGATAGAACTCCTTGAAGGAGCGGAAGTCTTCGACGAGGTCCCTGGCCGCACGTGTCCAGTTCTGAATGGCTTCAAAATCGTCGCTGTGGAACGCACGCTCTTGCAACTCCTGCACAATTTCATAATTCTTGGTCGCCACCTTAGTGCGTTCAAGATCCACCTGTTTGCGCTTCTCCGCGTTGATGAGACGGCGCGGGACGTACTTCTTAGGGTTGTTGGGGTCTCTCGGCCTGTTGGGGTCTCTCGGTTTGCGTGGCTTCCTGGGACCGGTAGCTCTGCGACGCTTTCTCTTGGGGACCAGATTCCCTTCTTGGTCAAGGGTGTACTGGTTGGCCTCGAGGTTCATAGCATCTCTGACCAAAAGGAAAGCTTCTTCGCGACCTTCCCGATCCGAAACGTGCTCGTACATATTGGCGAGGCAAACACGAGCCTCAATGTTATCCTCATCATCCTCAATGGCGGCAATGAAGCGTTCCTCGGCGGCCGACTTATCGCCTAAGGCCATGTGACATCGACCGAGACTTACGAGGATGTCTGCATCCATCGAGATATCGCCAGCCAGGTCGGCGATCTTTTCGTATAAGCTGAAGTACTGCAACGCCTTCGCCGGGAATTCATTATCCAGCAGGGCATTACCAATATCCTTCAGACAATCGGGGAAATCGTAAAAGTCTTCAACCGCCGTGTCCGCCGACGGGTCCAACGACGTCAGATGCTTCTCTGCCTCGTACATGTCCCCCATCTTCATCCTGAAGACGTACAACCTAGCCCTCAAATCCACAGGCAACGCCCGTCCGTACTGCATCGGCGAGAACCGTCCCGGTTCATAATCCTCGCACAACTCCCTCCTCTCATCATCCTCATCCCATTCCCTATCCTCACCCGGCCAGCGATCCCAGAACTCCTCCGCCCTCCGGCCCAACTTCCACCTCGCGACCCTCTTCAGCTCCGCCGCGCCTTGCTCCCACTGCTCCAGTATCGTAAAGAACTCGAGATAAATTCTCAAATCACTCCACTCAAACTCGCCCTCCATCGCCTCATACACCTCATCACCCTGGCTCCACAAATACTCAATGATATGTCTATAGGCCGCCTTGGCCGCCTCCGCATTCTTTCTTGGATCCCTCCCATCCAGCGCCGCCTCCGCGAGGTTTCTTACGGTTCGAATATTCAACGGCTGCACCTTGAGCGCCCTCAAATACTGCGCCAACGCCAGGTGACTCTGACCAAGTTGCATCAGCGCATCCGCCTTCCCCGTCCTTGCCTCCACGTTCTGCTTATCCGCCTGCAACGCCTGCGAGTAGCACATAACCGCTCTTTCCAGCGCCAGCTTCCGACGGGGGTCGGTCTCGTCCATCATGTCGACCCCGTACAAGCAGTAGAGCGCCACGTTCATCCAGTGGCGCGCGTCCTTGGGGATCAGCCAGGCGCCCGAAATCAAGCACATGGTCGCCGCTTCGCGGTTGCCAAGTTCCTCGTGAATCAGAGAGAGTAGGTTCCAGGCTTGTGGCGTTGCGGGGCGCTGCCGGATGATCTCCTTGACCATGTTGATCGCTTCTTGGTACTCCCGGCGGTCGAAGGCTGTGCGGGCCGCGGCGATGCGGATTTGAATTTCCGGAGGAGGACGCGGAGGCTTGCGAGGGCCGAGTTTTCGACGAGGCCGGAGGGGCTTGGGTGCTGGTGCGGAGGGAGCCACGGTCGTGGTGCTTCCATCGTTAAGGCTGTTGTTTATCTGTTTTGACATCGATTTCGAGACGCCAGGGAGGACTGTGTAAGCAGCTGAGGGGAGGTCGGCACGGTGTTCAGCTAACCATGCGTCGCGGACGGTTTCGAATTTGTGGATTTCGGCACGAATCTCTTCGGTATCAGAGTCTATAAATTCCTCTTCGGGGTCGACAAAGCCGTCCTGCATTTGTTCGTCGTCGAGATCGTAGCCGTCAAGGCCGTCCGTTTGATCATCATCTCCAGCCATGAGCTCAGGGTCCAGTGGTATGTCGTCGTCGTACTGGTTGTAGAAATAGGCGGCACTGTGAACACCGCTTTGTGGTTCGCCAACATGGTGAGCTGGCGAGTGGTCGTCGAGATCCATTCTGTCGTCCATCTTGAGCTATAGGACCTTGCCTGACGTGATCTGTTTGGATATTATCCGTGATGTTTGGTGTCCTGAATTTTCCGAGAGAATCGCAAAGCAGACACTCGTCTAGTGAGCGAAAAGGCTCCCGTTCGCGCGTGACTTTGCGTCTAGAGTAATATTTTCGGTCCGTAGGTTCAAAAGTGAAGATCGCTTCACGCCTCAGTTCTGGTTCACGCAGGACGTCCAATTCGCCGATTTCTAGACCGTTGAACCAAACCGATTCCTCAGTTCCCGAAGTTTAATGATTTAGTAGACCCCATCAGTGACTGCAGTTTCGATGGCAATTATGGGCGATGCCAATGATGTCTTGACACGCGAGCTGGTTGAGTGAAAGGTAATAAATCTCGGCGGGTATTGAGTCCCGTTTTTTCCAAGAGGTTCAAGGGCAGACAAGAAGGCCTGTGCTGCAAGACGTGGACGATGAGGCCTTTCCTGGGATGCCGCTACTGAAGTTGCGTAGGACCGTAAACAGCTTTCGGATTAGTCCAGGTATAGTTTTGCGATAAATCAGTGTACCAAGCTAAGATCGATATTGGGATGTTGATGAGGGTTTGATGTGAATGTGAAGATGATGGAGTCGTGAAAGACGGATTGGTCGTCGAAAATTGAAATCTTGGCCAATCAAAGCAAGCCCTTTTCCTGGGACCCACTTTAAGATAGGCCTTTTGGCAACGACAACCTTCCAATACATTTCATCCCGGACCACGACGGTAAGGACACTTGAAGCCGTCTGGAGCACAGTCACCTTCCACCTAAGAGGAGGCATCGTTAAAAGATCGATGAAACTTCTTCGCTCTTCACTATACTATGATAAATCACGCACTTTTCTAATCAAATTAACTACGTATTCCAGGCTTGGGATCTGGGCTTTCACTGCCGCAAATTCCGTATCGCAACGGCTGCCACTGATATTTTACGTTGTATACGTTCGCGTACCTAATTATCTTCACTTGGTTCCTCATAACACCCTTCAGATGTGTTTTTTTGATTGCCTAGACATGTGAAAATGAGTGGGAATCATTGTTGCCCATCAACTCAGCTCTACTCAAAAAAAAAAAAAAAAAAAAGATCTGCCTCCTGTGCCCATATATAGGTAACAAAGATATTGCATTTTGGACATTAAAACAGAGCGAAAGAGAGAAAGAAAGAAATCGGGTTGTCAGTAACTCCTACCAGCTGCACCATCATATATCCCGACCGCGATCGCGGCAAACTCCAACACTTCTTCCCTGCGTGATCAGTGACAAGCTATGCTTGAGGTACCTTGTTGTTGGCGAGTCCAGTGGGCGCCTATCTTGGGTGTGCGGGGGTGCCATTTATCCTGTGTCTCTAGCACAACAGCCGTCAATGCTAGATTTTGCCTTCCTTTTTGGCCTCTGCACTAGGTTGTCAGCTTTTGATCCACTTGAGCTCGTACGGAATTACCAGACATACCCTTGACTTGTTCAAAGACCTTGAGCATTTTGCGTCTAGCACCCAAAGCATTGACACCACGCTCCTCCAGCTGCTTGTCGTCCAGCTCGATCAAGTCTGTCCACTTCATGTCCTTCAAGTTGTCTGTGTACTTGTGCAGACGCAGGCTCCGCAGCCAGCTAGGGATATCCTGCAGGAGAGTAGGGTCGGTAGGATCCTCGGGCGGCTTCGAGCTGCCTCTTCGACCACGCGGAGAGCGGCCACGGTTGATTTCAGAATGGTCCGAAAGATAGCCCTCTGCGTGATGACCGCCCAGGTTGAATTGACCCATCATTGGAACCAGTCCATTGTTGATCAAGCCGGGTGCACCGCCGTCATACGCACTGAGGAAGCCATTATTCTGCGGCGAAGTAAACTGCAGCGCGGAGCCGTAGTTGGGCATCGCAATACCGGGTGAGGTGGGGCGTGAACGATGACCGCCAAAGCCGCCAAGACCCTGTTGCAGGCCTTGTTGCTGTTGCTGCTGAAGCGCCAAAACATGGTCGTGGCTTAAGACCTGCCCGTGCTCGTTGATCATGACCACATTGGTGCTCGGAATTCCCTGAGGGCCCGGCGATAGGGGATGCTGAGCGTGACTCTGGCCAGGGGCCCCGTCGTTGGAACGAGCACGACGATAGCGGCGAGCGTCGTCCAAAGCAAAGCGATTGTTTACCGTCGAGAGTGCGGCCAGCTTCATCGCTGTCGCGTTGGCTACCATATCGGCGTTGTTTCCTTGCGTTTGGCCGAAAGTTGGAACCATGGGCGTGTTGACCATCGAGGCCCAGTTACCACTAGAAGTGTAGGGGGATAGCAGCGGGAGCTCGGTCAGCTGCGGCTCAGCCGCGGTGAGGGTCGTGCTCTGGATGTTTGTGTTGCTGCTCAGCTGCGGAGGGCGAGGGGAGCGCAAACCACCGGCCGACGGCGGAGGTTGCACAAATTGGCCCATCGGAGTCTGGCCGGTGGACGACTTGGGCCGAGAAGTGTCGCTGGGACCCCACGGAGAGGCCGGGTTCTGTCCATTGATGTCATCCTTGGGGCCGGAAACCGTGGGGGCAGCGAGGGAGTTGCGGTTGTCAACCAGGCTGTTACGGTTCGAAGGCGGAGGGTTGCCTGTCTGCTGCGTGAATTTGGCCTTCTCCGTCGCAATGGCCGCAACAGCATCCGGGAACATGGTATTGATTGTGGTCTGATCCAGACCCGAGTGTCTCTTGTTGGCACCGCCACTGGGGCGGGCAAGGGAGTTACGGGCCGATCCCACTTCCAGCTTGCCCATGGCATCACTCAAGCGGCTCGACATGGGATCTAGGGATAATGAAGATATGATGTCAGCATGGCACCTAACAGTAATGGGGCAGTTGCACGAACCCTTGTCAAAGTTAGCGGGGGACAGAACTCCCGACATGGGGTGGTTCTTGCCCATCTGCTGAAGGACCTGAATGAAGAAACGGATCTGGACCTGAGTAGTCTGCTGAAGCAGAGCATACAGGGCAGCTGTGCGCTCAGCTTCGCTAAGGACGCGGAACCACTGTTCAATAGCGCTGAGTTCATCCTTGAAATCCTGATCAAGCGTAGCGGCGGCCATCTCCTCGAGGGTGGTCTCATATTGATCAATGTCGGCAATCCACTGCTGGGCCAGCTTGTCTTGAGGATCCAGCTCGGCATTGCCCTGCACCTGGCCGGACTGCGGCTGGCCGTAGAAGTCCGACGACGGGCGGATTCGGCTTGCGGCGGCCTGGGCGCCGGTGAGAGCGGCTACATCGGCAGAGGCGCGAAGGCCATGGTTGGAGCCAATGGCACGGGAAGAGGGGGGCCTCAGAGAAGAGACATTGCTAGCCTCGGGGGTGCTGTTGCGGTTGCTCATGATGTTGGACATATTGAGCATGATCGGAACCGAGTGTCGGGGAGGGACGAGGTCGCGAGTCGGGGAAAAGCTAGTCGGAAAGATGCCTGAAGAATTGTAACCGAATTGCTAGGGTCCCGAGGCAACGCTGAAACAAGGCAGACGGCTACAGTGCAAGTTAGCTGCTGTCCAGGCAGTCGGTCATCCGACGAGCTTTTCGCCAACCAAAACAAGGAGAACATTGTTGAGCCCGTCAATGCCATGTGCATATAATTCACCTCAAGTGCTCGTGGCTCTGGTGGGGGATAGGTTTTCAGCACGTACCCTGATGTCCTCCTCCAGTTGCGTATGTAAAGTGATTGGAAAATTATTGCTTGGGATTAGGCGGAGTCGAGCGAGACTTTCGAAGTCGACGCGATCGAAGTGTGTGTGTGTGTGTGTGCGAAAAGAGGGCGTGTAGAATGCGCGCGAGAACTTGCGAAAGCTCCTGCAGTTACCGGCTGGCCTCAAAGGAGTGTCGAAGATTGCGCAAAGAAGGATGACGTTTAGCGATGTCGGTTATCTGCGTCGAACATTGGAAGTGAGCGATCGAGTCAGCGAGGGTCAGGCCAACAACCGAAGAGCGGTGCGCAATGCGGGGGGGTGTGTGTTGAGTTGCGCGCGCGCAAAGGCCGAAACAGGCCAAACAAAGTATGATCACAAATGTTGGAAAGGGAAGAACTGTATCAAGCGGAAGAGGACGGACGGGATGAGGAGCGAGGAGGAGCGGGAAGGAGAAATGAAGAAAGAAAGCCGGGAGGAATTTGTTGTTGTTGTTGAAGAAGAACAGTTGTTGGTTGACGGGCAGACCAGGGTAGCCGAACGGAGGAGGGGAGAATGGAGAAGAGATGTGGAAGAAGTGTGATGGGTGATGAAGCTTCTAGCGATTCTCTCCAATGTGACGCGGCCACCACTGTGCCGAACGAGACGCAGACCGAGACGCAGACGACGGCGCGCGGACAAGCAGCATGGCTGGAGATTGTGTTGCAGAATCACCAAAAGCGGCTAAACTCGCCCCGGATCCGCTCGACGTAACACTCTCTTGTAGACTTTTTGCGACATTGTGGCCCCATTCTGCGATTCTCACACTCGAGTCCGGCAGCCCCGTTCCTTGGTGGAGACTGCTTGGGTATAATGTCGAGTGACGGACTGCTTGATATCACAGCGAGGGCAGGGCACTTCATGCCAGGAGCCGGCCACTGCCCAAGCCCACTCACTCCAGTCATGCTAGGGAGGAGACTGGCCATTGTTCGCTTCTGTCGCTCGTCAAAGGAGCCGGGAGTTTGCCCAAGTCACGCAAGACATGGATATGTATATAAACTCGAACGGGGGCCGGATCGGGTAGAGAGAGCTACGGGTTCGGAGTCGAGGGTCGGGGGCCAGGAAGGGAACAAAGTGCATGCTTGAGAGGCTGATTGGCAGGCGGGAAACATAAACAGGACTCACCCATTTAAAACGATGGACGTATCCTGGTATTCAAGACAACAACTGGAAGAAACCCCCAATATGGTATAGGTACTGGAACGGAAATCCCCAGGTCCTGCCCTCTTCCTTTGGCTGTCCTTTCAGCCTGTGCCAGCAGCAGCGGTGGTGATGACGGGATTGCTGAGTGATGGCCTCTTTCACGCGCCGGCGTCAGTCGTCAATCGCAAGAGTGTCCGTCGAACCTAACGCTGCGGCCGTGATTGAGCGGGTTGTGATATGATTCAGGTTGGTTTCTCAGTTAGGTCGATAGCTGGCGGGAAGGAGGAGAGCGGAATAAGGAACGGGACTCGTAACTTTCAAGTTGTTGAAAGTGAGGTCGTCCGACAGGAACTCGAAGTGGAAGTCCGGGTGTGCGATTTCCAAGCACACCTCAGAGTGGAAGTTGAAAAGTCAGGGCGGGCAGCCGAGAAGAGGAATTGGATCTCATGCGCAACCTATCACTGCAGCAGTGCAGTGAGGTGCCTCCGCCGGCTGTCGTTTCATTCAGTTGCCTCCATGGATGGTGGTGGTGGTGGTGGTGGCTGCTACTGTTAGTGATTGGCTCATCCAGCGGTGCTGATGGCGCGTATTGTGGGCGCTAGCACTAACGCGCTGCTTGGCCAATGGAGGCGCTCGCCTTTCAGGGCAACCCGTGTTTCGACGTTCTCACTGCAACCCAGCACAGGACACAGGCAGGCAGGACAGTGCCCCCTGGAGGGTCAGCCGGGCGGGGCCAAGAGGGGACCTCCTGCGGAAGGGGCGGAGAGCGGGACGAGGTGGGGCGGGGTTACAACACCTGGGCTCCAGGTATCCGATCCAGCCTCGAGTGACTTCGGTCGAGTCTGTGACACTGGCTCGAGACTGGACTGCCACTGCAAATGGACTGGAGGCCTCGAACAATTCACCCGAGATGCTAAACGTGGCAGACGTTCCACTTGCAACAACAAGTTGAGGTTGTTCGGAAAGACGCAAATCACAAAATGTCAACGCCAGTGTCCCTCGAGGATGAGCTCACAGCGTGCCATTTCTGCCCACCATCCCTATCTCAAATTGGTGTGTATCACGGCCAAATCTGTTAGACACTGACAGTTCCCCCTTCTTCCAGACTCAGTGTGGAGCCCCTTTTCACTTCACAAGCGAACGCCTCAAGAGGGTTAGGGCTTAGTGCTACTACTTGTACGCATCATCAAATACGACATTCCCTGATATTTACAAACCCCAAGTATAACATCACTCTCTTTTCACTCACAGACCCAAAGTGTCTTTCTGGTGAGAAACATGTCGATACGCTTGCGTTTCAGGGTAGTATCCCTCCAAACATCTGAACCCTAACTCTGCTATGCCCCAATTTCAGAAGACAACCCGGGAAAAGGAAGCAACCAACCCACCCAACGACGTTTCCATAAACAAAATCACCAACAAGTCTCACGAAACCTTTCCCTCTTGATGCACACTGTATTATCTTGCGACTCCTCGCTGTTTGTTCGGGCCTTCTGCCGTGATCCAATCTCAGAAATTTTTCTCCTCTTGACGCACACATCCAGATCTTGGGGTTCTTCGCTATCCGCCCGAGCTCTCTTTGGTTGGAAGGGAGAATCATGATGAGGATGGAACTGTCGAGAGGGTTGTCGTGATTCAGCCCGAGAATTCGGCGGAGCCGCAACTCCTCCTCCATCAGCCGGCCCAGCTTGCTTCCCAAACTCAGCTACAGCCTCAGGAAACGTAGCTCTCAAGTCCTCCAACACCCTGAAGCTTTCCTGTGCAACGATAAGGTTCCGATTTGGCTCACCCAGTAGCGGTCCACGAACAAGAAAGAACTCTTCCACGACTGCCCTGAGCGCAGATTGTATTTCCTTTCGCACGGCTTGTAGCGCGCTCCTGCATTTGTCCACTTCCTGTTCGAGCTCCCAGTCTTCCAAACATATCCCCTTGAACACATCTTCATCGCGACGTTTGTTAAACTTATTCAATCTTGAAACCAACTTCTTGCTTGGTTCGAGGACGATGGGCAGCGTAAAGTATCTCTCAATGCCCACGATGTCTTCATGTATACGATCAAACTCGGCGAGCGGGTCGTTTTGGGATAAGTGCTCGAGAGCCTTGTCTGTTACGAAGGCACTGCGACGGTGTCTCGGCTTCTGTGAGGCACATATTTTTTCGTCCGTATCAACTGGATGACTATTTGCCTTTCCCAGCTCAGTCTTGGGTCGTGGCGGGGGTTCAATGCGTACTGCATGAGCCGCGGTCGGTGATGAGGGTATTTTCTTTGTCGGTTCCTTCCGCAACCCGTGGTCAGGAGGCAAGACATTCACTTCCATGGTCTACAAGTGACAAGTGTCAGCTGGATTCCCCCCCTTACAGTCCGTGGTATCAGAGGTTTCGTACCGTCTTTGGTAGCACGGTGCCTATGGGTAGAGTAACGTTTGGCGGCCAGAGGGATGGATTTGATTGTTGAATAATGACATCGGGTGAGTTGTGGTGAAATTGCGAAAGTCTTTTCAATTCTGTGGGGAGATCAGAAAGAGGTGCGAGGTTTCCACCTTTCTGTCCCATGGCACTACGCCGTTCACTGATGAGCTGCAGAAAGAACCATCGGTGTTTTGGATCCCCCTATGGCACCAATGATGAAAAGTCACCGGTTGATGAAGTGTTGACAACATTCATTACCACTTTCTATCTCAAATTACTAACAAGGCAATGGCCAACCGCCAACCCCAATTACAAAAGGCCATCGCTACTCCCCGATAGGGAACCCCAAAGCACATTATTCACCCCGCCTAGCAACCGGTTGGCATCAAACTTGGCAACCGTAACCTTGGACCTCGGAACCTGCCTATGCAACTGCAGAAGTGAGCTTCACTCGTGCAGAAAGGATGACTGATCACAAGGATGAAAGCAAATAGACAGGAAACCTGACCCGGGCCCTCCCAGCAGGTGTTTGAATCACTGCACCCCCCCCCCCCCCCCCCCCCCCCCCCTACAGTAAAATTCTTCTCCGGAAAACCAAACTTTTACACATATCGAACGTTAGATGCCTTTTTGCTCTTCTTCTACTTCTCTACGAGCTGCGTCTGCGACGGTTTCTTATCATAATCCTTTCTTGACCAACTCATCGTCAATAAAAAAATAAGCGGTATTACCACCACCACCCTACGATGGTATTATTAGTGTTGCGTGAGGTTACTCTCCAATACTAGGTTGCGTTCAACTATCTCTGATCAGCTGCTGATGTCTTCTGTCTCTAGGGAGTGCCTATCGAGTTGATAGCGTCGAACTTATCTGATTTGGCATTTTTTCTATTGATCATTATTAGCGGCATGAACCCCAAGGCGCGGCCACGTACCAGGAGAACGTCCGCAATCATACTTATCGTTGTCCAACATGCGAGATTTCGTTCGGGTCCGCGGGGAATTTGGTGAGGCATCTGGAGACTGCTGACCATCTGGCCAAGGAAGATGGGACTTACGTCCCTCCCAAGTCCCAAGACGGCGACTTGTCGTGGTGGTGCGATCTCTGCGATATCGGGTGGGCGGATGAGTACGGTCTCATCCTGCATGAACGCAGGTCATATGGCCACAGGGTCAAACAAGCCGAGCGTCAGGGCCTGCCGCCTCCTCCCAAACCGCAGAGGGGGTAAGGGTTGGGTTTTGACGTTTACATTGTTTTTGTAACAGACTGGATTGATTGCCACAGCAGTCTCGTCGTAGACAAAATAGTTAAGACCTTTAACATTATATCTTGGGTATACTCTTACTATGCATCCAAGCGTCTTTGTAACACCTCTTGTCTTAAGTTATTGGCAGTTTCTAAATGAAAACATACAATAGGACTCTAGCCGATGTCTTTTCGAATTGTTGTAATCCCTATTACAGTCCTGCAACGGCCTTTGCTTTAATCCTGACGAGCGGTAGTGGACTGGTTTACCTAGCCTGTCGGTTGGTCTCACATGTTTTGTCTCGGACGAGACGTAACACTGATTGAATGTCATAGGATTTCAAAACCGATAACAAAGTTCCAGGATACGTCTTCCAGCAATTTATCAGCCATACTCCCTACCGTCGTACCTTCAAGACAGCCGGGCGACAAAAATCAGACCGAAAGAGATTCCTTATCAACACCCGAGTCGACTACCTACCTCTATTCTTCCTACCCTTCTTCACCGGAACCTCAACCTCCCTCTCACCCTTCACCCTTCACCTCCTTACTAACACCTGTCTTCAAGGAACATAGCCTGAACGTAACCAGCTCCTTTAAGCACACATCAGGTTTAGGAAGGAGCTGCGCGTGCAATTGTGTTTTCGTCACTTCATTTTTAGTTGTCAGCGACCGTTGCACGAATTAGAGGTCCAACATAATCCTTTATGCTCTCTTGAGCATCAAAACCGTTTGGTGCAGCTCTTCGCCGCCATTGCCCGACAACGACGAGGAGTGGTAGATATAATGGAACTGCTGAGTGTGTCGGTCGATGTGTTTTTTTACTCTGGCTTTGATGGGGAGCGACGTCCTGCTCGCCTATCACTGGGTCGGAGTCGGTGGGTGTCCTGACTACTTGAGACAGATCCAGGTTCTAGAGCCCTACTTTGGGCCAAGCACTTGGAGTGCGCAACCACCGGTATTTGAATGGAATGATCGTGATTCATGGTGTCCCATGATATTTGGTTCCGACCTGCGGTTGGTATAGGTGACTGCCAAACGGAAGTTAAGACGGACTGCCAGACTCTCCAGGTCAAAATCGACAAACGAACGAAAAAGACAGAAAGCTCGTTACCGCAAAAGAGAAAGGAAAAAGTTGCCTTCCAGGACATTCACCGAAGAAAAAACAGATAAACGTCGTGGGATTCGTGCCCTGGAGTCACGTCGCGCAAGACGGCAGCATTCATCACCATTACCACGTTCCATACAAAACGAAGCCATTGTATCATCTCTCGTCGATTCCCGAAGTATGCCGCCCTTTCATCCCGAACACAATAAACAATGGATTTGTCATCCGCGTTCTCTTGTTCACTGGTTCTAAGGTCTTGCAAGAAACACTCTGCGTTGTCTCAGACGCTTGAGGCATGGACCAGAAGCTGCCATCTGACGAGCTTCATCCAGTTTATCAACATCCCGCCGTGACACATAACAAACGACTAACACCGAAGATTTACGGCTCCAGAAAGGACTATGATGACTTTCAATGCACATTCTTCGGTATCGGTCATATATCCTGTTCGTCGTCTCCTCGTCATTGGAAATCCAGTGAGAGTGTCGAGAAGCTTTTAGGTCCACTGCTGTGAGCTATCACATTTTGGATAATAAGAGCCTTGACGGCAACTCCTCGCTTCCAAACAAACGATGGCTTTGTTGTTGTTCTTGTTCTGCAAGACAGACGCTGTGCATCACAGTCTTTTCTAATAATGCCATTATCGTCCATTGTAAATTGTTCAATTCACTGTGACCGGCCTCCAAGAGCTTCACCACCATGGCCTCTCGTCATGATAGATTGCCAGTACCACTCGTGATGGCCGCAGAAATGATATCTCAAGAATTCCAGAAGACTTAAATACTCCTCTGGAGCTCGCTCTCTGCAGTTTCAGATTGTCCCTCGCCGATATCGATCTAGAACATCGGTACGAAAACACAGCACCAAGCGAGTAAGGACTCGAACATTATCAAGACACACCCGATGATCCTGGCCAACACGACGAAGCCCACAAGACTCAGCACTTGCCGGCAACCTCAACACCTCCACAATGGAAGACATCAAGTCCCCCGACCTTTCACCCCTCACCTCTCTCACCAACACACCCCGACTTCTCAGCCCGGAACCCAGATTTAAACACGAGGGAATCGCTTCGGAAGCTGCGCCGGACTTCAACCCCCTCCGTCGTCCCCACCTCCACCCCCGCGTCCTCACCCTCTCCCACCTCCGCCTCCGCCGCCTCCGCCACCACCTCCCCCGGGACATCGTCTCCATCTCCAAACTCTGCCGAGATCTCCAGGAACGAGTGAACGACATCCCCGTTCCCATCATACCAGCCGTTCCCTCCATCCCACATTTACGCTCCGCAGGCCCCGTTAACGTCTACGAAGAAGCCGTCTCCGCTGCCGCCGCCGATGTAGAAAGAATCGCCGACATCAAAACCCAACTGGAACTCCTCGCCCACGAACTCGAAATACTCAGAGGCGCCGTGTTTGAGCGGTTCGAGGACTTGTTTGACAAGAAGAGGGAGGGGGCTCTGAAGAAACAGCTGGATTGCTGTTTTAGGGATTTGAAGGAGTTGCAGGTGGAGGTGAATCACAGGATTTGGAGTGGGAGGTTGAGGCAGCCATTGCAGCCACTGCAGCCACTCCCGCAGCGACTGCATCAGCTGGGGATGCCTACAATGGAGCGACTGAATAGTGGAATTCAAGGAAAAGGAAAGGGGAAGGGTAAAGGAAAGGAGACGGAGAGGGAGGTTGAGAGGGAAGGCGAGCAGAATGCCCAAGAGCAGAGTGTCCTGGACGCCATGGACATGGACCTCAGCGTGGGCGCCCAGTTCCAATTTCCCGAATGGCCGGAATTTAACGACGAGGAAATCATAACCATGTTCAAAGAGATGGAGGAGGAGTTACTGGAGGAGCCAGTCAACTGGGAGGAGATTCTGAAAGCCGAGGCCACGAACGAAGAGGCCCAGGTGAGGGGCCCTGTGAAGAGGGAGCAGGAGGACGATAAGATGCAGCTAGACGACGTCGAAGAAACGGAGACTGTGAAGGAAGACCAAACTAAGAAAGAAGTTGATGAGGAGAGAATGGAGGAGGATGTTGATACGAAGGAGCCCGAGGAAAGTATATGGAGCGAGGAATCTGGAGGAGTTGACTGGAGGGCATATCTGCCTTCAGCGCACCCCTGCGACCCAGGTGCGCGTACAAGCTGGCATTGCGCGTGGGGTCGGAGGCAGTAGATGGTATTTGCGGATCGTGGAGGAGACTTTGTCAGCTAGGTCTGGGTCGAAGGGATTGTGGGTAAGGAAAAGGATGTGATGTACTTGGCACCTTATCGAAGGAATAGAGGGGATATCAGAGACGGGATTTGAGGATTTGGGAGTATAGAAACCGCCAAGAGATACTAGATGATGAGAACGAAACTTACTAGAATCAAAGGTGGCCTGGGTCCAAACCGACATAGGATATTTACCAAGCTTTTCATTCGCACTATGAGATCTGTGCCGTTCGCCATACCCCTTGTTTGTCGCAAATCTCTTCAAGATGAAATACATATTTTGGTCGGTCGTCTGGGGGAGTCCGGTCGTCCCAAGTGGAAGTATTAGACGTCTGTCTCGAACCTGTCATCTGAAGATTGTCACTTGTTCGATCCAGCTTTTCAACTCAAAATACATGCTCCATCCAACTAAGCTGCAGGTGGCAAAACCCTTTCTGATACCTCAATCTTCGAGTCCACCAACGAAACCAACTCGAAGCTTGTTGATTCTTACTCGTGAAGAACTTCAAAGACAGCCGAATCACGCTTAAAGCTTGCCGGAACAAGCAACACTGGAAGTCAACGTCTCCAAAGATTTCGAGAAGCAACTCACACCTGCTCATATCATAGGAAACAGTCCAAGACACTTGGAGCGGAACGCAACAATATCCACGAGCCCACTGGATTTGTGATCTCGAGCTGAATCGTTGTTTGCTCACCTTTCCACTCCATATCGCCCACCGGTAACACAAAAGCCTCTTTCTGCTCCATATCAACAGGTAAATAAACCGTCGTAGAAACCAAGACACAAGAGTCTTTGACGGGAAGCTGACATTCCAGATCCCTTCACCAAAATCATGTCCCGTCCCCGGCCACCACCCCTCCAACTCAACCCCGTACTCCCAACACCACCCGTCACTCCCGACAAGCTTCAACATCATCTCACCTCGACCTCTCCCAACCAAACCGCTTGGACACCACGAGAGCCCAAAAGCGTTCGATTCGCTCTACCATCTGCTCAAACTCCGGGGCCCAAATCCAAGTTCTCCAAGACAGCGACGTTCAAAACCCACCACAGCCAGACGACTAAGGCAAAATCCAAGAAAATCCCCGCAAAGCCCTACAGCGCTTCGCTCAATCGGCTCATGGTGAGGTATTACGCTCTTGTGCAGTCTCTTTGCGAGTCAAATCTCTCTGAGTCCAAGTTCAAGTCCAAGGTCGCCGACGACAAATTACCTTCAAAATGCAGGGGCATTCTCGCACCTCCTCCATCCCCCGTCAACCCCGTCTTCTCTCCCGTTCGAGACATCCAAATCCAAATCCAGCAACGCAAACCCCTCCAAGCCATTAGAAGCCACGCCCACGCCTCGATCTACAAACCTTTGACAGCCATAGCGCCTGTGCTTACGCTTCCCTTGTTGCCGAGCCTGGAGGCGGAGAAGGAGGTGAGGAAGGTGCTGAAACGGGCGAAGAGAGGGTTAAAAATATTAGAGGAGTTGGTTGCCTCTAAATCGCAAGGTTCAGATTTGGAGTTGAATTTGGATCTGGATCAGAACATGGGGATGGATGAGATGGATTTGAATCGGGAGCTTGCCCATGTTGGGAGTGGTGACCGTATGGACCTCGATCTAAACGGCTCTGGCAGCGCCCACATGCATATTTTTGGGCCTGGAGGACGGCTCGGAGCTGCGGAGTGT